TGTGCATCTCAAATGAATGAATCAAAGGATATATATTTGCCACAATAACTTTCGGTGTAAGTCGGTGTGTGTTCCACTTATTATACTGAGTTACGAAATAAGCAAAGGCTTCCGTACCTCCTGATATACCACAATTTCTTGGCTATAGTTATTGATGTCTTTTTACTTACAAGAAAACGCTATACCAAAACTAGTGATTGGGCTTCCTGTGCCTGAAGAAAACCATACTTCAGCACTGGGTGGCATGGGTGGCGTTCGCCGCTAACGCGTCGTCTTTCAACGCTAACGCGTTGTCTTTCACCGCTGTGAGTCTAACGGGTAGGGTCGCTGGATCGAGCCCTGCGGTCGCCACATGTGAATTGAGTTTGTTTGATGTGTTGTTCTCTCCCATGCTACGAGGGTTTTCTCCGGTTTCCTCCCTCTCCGTAAAAACCAACATGTGATTTGAGCGTTATGTGCATAGAATATTAAATGTAGTAATAGTGCGTGTGAGCGAAAAGTGTCCCGAATTATTGCGAAAGCGCTAGAAAGACTAGACACTTAAATAAAAATGATTTATTTATATTTACTTTACTGCATTTCAATGAGTTCCTGTCTCTAAGTAATTATCAATCATTCAAATTGACCTTGGGAGTTATGCTAATTAGAGGGGCCGCGAGGGAGGAAATAGAGTTGGATTGAAAAGAATTAAACTGGATGGGTTAATTCTCGTGCAATGTGATTGGTCTGGCTTATGCCTTGCCGTGTCACGACCGTGTTCGTGCCGTGAGCTTTTCGACTGTCATGCCGCCCTGCACATCAAACTTTCCACATAGAAAAGTTGTCGTTCCGCTCGCGCCGTTTCTTTTATCATATAAAGAATGTACTTACCATATTTGGAAATTGGAATATAATTTTCTTTACTAAATAGGCGAATTTCTTGCTCAAAACTGCTCAAATATTAGTTATTTACAGTAAATCGAGTGAAAACATCCCCACTAGTTAGCTAGTCAGCCATCTTGGTTTTGGCCGAAAAAGGACTGGAAATGTGTAGGGGAGGGGAGCGTGGTTTGTCACCACAGGAAGCCCGCGAACGACAACAATTGTTTGATATGCTGTATATTGAGCGCATATATTTTTTTTTACAAAAGGGCTATCGAGACTGTGGCTCTTTGTGAAAGGAAGAAATTGGAAACCCGAACAAAATTAAACGAACCCTGGAAGATTAGAAGAGAACCAAATGGCGAGTTTGCGAATGGAACGCAAGTCGACTGTATAGCTCAGGGCAACGTGCAAAGGGCTTGTTCGTGATGAAACTTCAGGACCGATCGACACATTGCCCTGCTTGCATTGGGAAAAGCATTTTAAATCAGGGTTTTTAACTTTTGACTGCATGCACTCTACTTGACTTCCACATTTTCGTTTTGTGGGAAGTGTTAACTTCGGGATCCCTGTGCCGCCCTACTCGTGTTCCCCGGCACTTGTCGAGCCACGAGTGAAAAGAGCCGCTTTGTTCGTTCGTTTTCTATTTCAAGTATGGCATATTTCTATTACAATATCGAGACTTTACAACCACAGGGCCATTACTGCTGTTTCGTTTAATAAAACCGTGGAATCAAAGTAACCTTGGTCACAGTTTCCAGAGAAAAGCATAAAGATGTGCGACCGAACCTCTTCCTCCCCCCCCCCCNCCCCACCCCCCAAAAAAACGTGATTGAGGGAACCTCCCAAATGACAAGGATAAGAAATAATCTTAATCTTATAGAATCCCCCGAAAGCTGAGTACGAACGTACCGCGTAATTATTCCAGACAACTTAACGAGCTATTTTAAAACTGCAATCTTATAATTTAAGGCTTCGTATCCCCAATTCGATTCTCGAACCTAATAAAAATCCTGGATTATGAAGAGGTTGGTTAGTTTTTAAAGATTTTGATAACCATTCATGGTACTTTTTCATAAGTTATGCATACTTGGTGCCGGCTCAGTCTGACTTATGTTAATTGATTGCTAAAACAACCTCCCTCCCCTCCCCCAAAAAAACTAGTTTGCAATAAACATTTTCCATCTATTTTTACTCGGCAGCTAACTTTATTTTATAGATTTTGATAACCATCTTTATTTCATGTTTTATGAATTACTTGGAGCTCTCAGCCTAAGTGTTAGTTAGTAATCACTTGTTGTTGAACAAACCGACCCCAAAATACGTAAAACAACTCATTAGCATGATAAAGAAAAATATGGTTTTCAAAATAACTTTTATCTCGCACAGCTGACGTTATTTTAACTTTCTGTTAATTTTATTTTTGGTCCGAGACAAAATATTTGTAATAGTATGAATCAATGATTCCTGGCTGCCACCAATAATAAAAAAACGTCCTTTTTTCACGAGGGTAGCACTTAATAGAGAGTTTTAGATAGCCGTTCACGGCAAACGTGTAACGCAAGATGATCAGTGAAAAATTATTTTAAATAACTGAAAAGGAATTGCAAAAAAATCCAAGTAGTAGAAAAACAAAACAATATTTGTTTGTGATATGAAAGTTTGCAAAAGGTAAAGTAAAATACAGGAAAACGATGAAAATGTGGTCACGTTTGCCGTGTGTGCGGGAAGAAAAAAAATTCAATCTAAAAATCTCTATTAGCCAGAGGCTAACAAACCTGTAGCCCTCGTTACGTGATGAGATTGGAATTTAGGAGTTGATTTTTAAGGAGGGAGGAAAGCCGGAGAACGCGCAGAGAAACCCTCAAAGCACAGGAGAGAACCAACTAGAAATTCTGCTCACCATAAAACATCAAACCCGGCGGGACTCGACTCGGGTCGCATTGATAAAAGGTGAGCGCTCAGCGCCCAATTAACTCACTAGTTTGATTAATTTATATTCCTCGAGGATATTTTGTGTACTGAAGCTCGCAGGCAACGACTTAAGTGTTTTGCAATCCCATGCTGAGATAAGCCACCACTTACATCTTATCTCACTGACTTGTGTAGGTGTCGCAGGAAGTTTTCTTTATATGTGTTGAAAATAATAGAATATAAAAGCAGAAAATAAGACTTACTTTAGCCTGAATTATAAATGATAGATCCTTTGAATAATTAAAGTTGTTCTTCTGGCTAAAAATATGTAGAAAAAAGGGGCCTTTCATTTTCTGAATTCCGAGCGGGATATTATAGTCTAGCTGGTCTTGCGTGACTTGAATAATAAGCTGTGACACGTCAGTGGAAAACACGCAGAAAATCAAGAGTGGATTATTTTGGAGTTTGAAATATAAATTCAAAACGTATTTTCGGTTGCAGCTATTCTTAAAAATCACTAATACACCAAATCCAATATGGCGCACGGCCGAGTGATTTCAGGAAAACGAGGCATCCATGAATGACCAAATGCAAAGAAATATTATGGTGTCAATGAAAAGTATACACTTGTTCTATCTTCCTTTCCTTCTTAAATTCAGGAACGCAACATTTTTTGAAATTATAAGCATCAAATTATAAGAAAATACTGTACAGTTGGCCCTGGATGCCTAGTTTTCACCCGGCCGTGCGCCATTTTGGACTTAAGTGGTATATAAAGCGAAAAATGTTTTAACCTCGTGAGGTGGCTTAAGGTCAATTTTTGGCAATATCGTTATAGACTGGAAGAAAGTATTAAATTTGGCATTGAGTTAACTTAGGCCCTGTAAATATTATTTCTTCCTTCCTTCCTTCCTTCCTTTCTTTCAAGGGGTCTATTGAGCTGCTTTGACGTCACATGCAAGGGGTCTATTGAGCTGCTTTGACGTCACATGCAAGGGGTCTATTGAGCTGCTTTGACG